GCACTGTACCATGTTCAAGGCTATCAACGCAGAATTGCCCAGGGTTTCAACAAAAAAGTCAAGTCCAGGAATCTAAAGGAAGGAGATTTGGTGCTCAAGGACAACCGAGCTCCTATCCACGACCCAAGGGGCAAGTTCAGACCCAATTGGACTGGTCCCTACATCATCAAGTCTATCTGGTCAGGTGGAGCTGTGGTTCTGATGGACCTAGATGGCCTAGAATTTTCACAACCGATCAACATGGACAAGTTGAAGAAATATTACCCCTGAGAGACTCGTTAGGCCGAAAACCCGAAAGGGCGACCTAGGCAAAAATTAGAGCATAAAAAATTGGAAAAATATAAAAACTGAGCTCGCAAGGTTGAAAACCCGCAAATGGCGGCCTTGGCAAAAGTTAGAGCGTAAAAGGAGAGTGAAAATACTCGAGTGAACCTAAGCCTGAACTACGTAAGGCTTGATTCCCATCTTCGGGATACGTAGGCAACTTCATCCTGAAGCTCAGCCATAACCTTTTCCCCGATCAACTCTGTCCATTTGATCATCTTAGTTATCTTTGTCTATCAGCATTTAAGGGCTTCGATTGTAATCTCCGGTGCAGTGCTATTCAGACTAGGGGCAACTTTCTGTTGCCGTGCAGTGCCGCGGTACTCTTCAGACTGGGGGCAACTTTCCAGTTGCAAGGATCCGAGGTTGTGCATCTCAGTGACAGATCTCAGGCGTGTCCAGTTCTGATCCATATCGAAAATGGTTTGGAAAAGTTTTAATAAAAGTTGACTTTGTTCAATTAATCTTCTTACAACTAAGACCATTTTTGGACCAAAGCGGAAAATTTTCAGTACCACAACCTTCAATTTCATTAATTTCAAAACAGAGTTCTCCTGGTCTTGCGTACGATCGAAGTTACTTTTTATTACATTCATAAAGAAAACTTGGAAGTACTAATAAAGCAATAAATCCGGGGCATAGTCAAGTCAGGTGTTCCTGCGTCCCCTCCCAGAGCTAGTCGAAGTTTCTGATACCGAGCTGGGCCCAATCTGTGCCTCTTCATTGAGCCAATCCAAGCACTCGTCAGACAAAGTATAACTGAAAGTGGGAGCGGGGACCAGGAGTTCTCTCGTCCTCCATGCCGTGGTATATCGGGCAAGCTGTGCACCTCGAACCGGGAATAAAGCCGGATACTCTATCCCCTCTGGTGGACAACTCTGATCATGACTGAACTGGCGCTGGAACCAGAACGGAAAATAGAATACACAGTGAGTCAGACCAATCAATTAGATCCCAGTCTGCCGAGACATGCTATAGCTCATTGCCGGGAGATTGAGCCAAGGGCAGCGCCAAGCGATGCGATCTGTAGACAAATTGCACATCCAGTCAAATCACCATCCCTCATCAAGGGCATCGACAAGGCGTTGTCGAAAGAAGTAGCCGCGAGCTGAGTAGGCTGGGCAAGAGTCCACAACCTGCAATTTATCCATCAACCATACCTGGGGAGGGATGAAAAATGAGAGAATGAAGAATAGAGAGATGTACAATGAGAGAAAAGTAAGACAAGGGTTTTGTGAGAAAAACCGAGCCTGAGGGCTGAGTGATGTGAGCAATACATATGTGAGATTGGGTGGGAAACATTACCTGCAGCAGTAGTGGACTCCCTGCAAATCTGGTCGTCTCCCGGCGATGGAAAGCATCCAAGCCCATCAGCGTCTCAGCCAGTGTTATCGCAATACAACTCTTTCCATCCTTCAAGCCTTGAGCAACTTCAATCAGGTGAATGCTAGATCCACCAAAACCCGGCGCAAGCAGAAAGTGAGATAACATACACAAGCAAAGGGCATGTTGTTGGAAACCTTGCCAATGATGGTCGCCACGGTCATCGGCGTCAGAAAAACGATAAATCAATCCGAGGATGTCCAGTTCCCCATTACAGATCAGAGACCGAGCGTCATACGTGGTGAGTCCACATATTCGCTCTAAAGCTTGGGCGTGACCAAAGCGAAACTGAGGCAAGGTCTCTTCATAACGTTCAGATTCCATCAAAACTTGAAAATCTTCGAAAGTTGGACATACCTCTTGCCCGCCAAAGCTAAAGACGTGTGTTACCGAGTTCCAAAACCTTGCCACAACATGGAGGAAGGGAAGGTGTAGCGGAGTACGACTCAGCGTGAATAGTGCATTCAAGCCGAAACCTCGGAAGTTTAACTTTTTCGAGCCATCTAAAGTAGCAATCCAAGCTGTGAGATTTTCGATGAGAAGCGCCTCCATTTTGGTGCAAAACTGAGATGAAATGAATGAGCCCCGGAGCTAGGACTTTTAAAGGGAATAAGGCACTGTTCGGGGGGACACATGTCAAAAAACTGGTGGTTGCTGAGCTAAGTGGCCGGCCGGCCACCTTTTCTGGTAGGCCGGCCACCCCTCTCCCCTCAAATGCAAAAGCTGGTCAGCCAGCTCCCAAAGGTGGCCGGCCATGCTGCAATTTGTGTCTTTGGTCCTGTTCTACCCTTTAGAAGAATGTTTCTAGCATGTCCATGCATCGGGAGTGTCGAAGGCCTCCATTTCCCTCTGCTTCGGATGCGTTCCATCACCCAGATCGTCCGAAATGTGTTTTGTTTATTGAATTGGTGTTTAGCCTTGCTTATCGAGTTGTTGTTTTGCTTATCGAGTTGTTGTTTTGTGGGTCGAGCTGTTTCGTTTACCGAGTCTTGTTTATCGAGTCGCTGAGTTTTGTGCATTTGAGTTGTTACTCTTTATTTATCAATTTTGTTGTGTTGTAAACTTGCTAAGGTTTTGTTGTCTCTTAGTAAGTTAGGTTGTTTAGTTTGTCGTGTCGGTTCGCTACCTAACTTGGCAAATACACAATGCACATTTACTGTTTAATCTCATTATTTGCAAAATAATGCGATGCGATGCTGAGAACATAAAGTACAACACTTTTTCAAAAAGCTGTTTCATTCCATTATGCTTCCTTTGTTACAACATTTTACAACAAAGGTACAAGCTTTACAGAAAATAAAACTGCCTAATAATGTACAATGTGCTACAACTACTAGTAAAAAAGGTAAATAAAGCAGGAAACAGCTGCACCAATGCTCTCAAGAGCAGGAATAAGAGGCCCTCTTCGTCCTCTTCTGCGGAACAAGCTCTGCACCACCGGCACTATCTGAGTCGGAGCTGTCATCCTCGGCATCCTCCTTAGCCTCCTCTCCACTCCTGAAACCAGGGTCGGAACCCTCCTCTCTGTCAGCAGATGTTTCTGACTGACGATCTGCAGCCTCCTCCTCCTCTTCGTCCTCACCGGGCTCCTCCTCTGCGATATGTGCTCTAAGTCTACGGGACGACTCCCCTCTCCCGGCCCCGCGAGAAGTCCGAGATGGCCCGGCTCCCCAAGAAGGTCGAGATGGCTCGGCTCCCCGGGAAGGCCTGGATGGCCCGGTCCGTGGCTGATATACTGGAGGCATCTGAAAATAAAAAGTGCAGTTTGAATACATCAGCTCAAATGTGTGTATCAGATACAGATGCAAGCAAACTACATGAAATGAGGGTGCATGTAGATACAATATATGAATGTGGTGTGTGTCATATGTGCTCTACACAGGCAACCTACCAATGCAGTGAAATGATCAAGTTCAGCATGTCATCGGAAGTATGATATGCGAGAAAATTAAAGAGTACCTGGACACCCATGATGGACAACTGTGCCTCTCTCCGTAAGACCATGCCCTTGAGTGCGGCCATCATCCTGAGCATCTCATCCATATACTCGACCGGAGGCTGCAGATACAAATGTAAAATATCAGTAAAGGAATGAATGTCCAAGTATCTGAGTGATAAATCAAAGCTATAAAGCATACCGGCGGCGAATCAGGATCTCTGACATATCTGTGGTCAGACATGGGAGGCTCTATCGGAATCGAGTAAGGAGTCCCGAATCGCCATCCCGTCAGCTCGGTCGGCATGTCTGGCCACCCAGGATGATGATGAGTCGGAGGAATCGGGGGAACCAATCCACCCCCACCTCTGGATATACCAGCCCTGCTAGTGGAAGAGACGTCCGCAGCCCGAGCCCGGCCCGATGAGGGCATACCAGCAGGTCTCCTCGTCGGGGTATGGACTCCCGTCAACGAAGGCATCAAGTATGTGTGACGATAAGTCGCATACTCTCCCTGCTCCAGATGAAGAAATGCATCAGTACCCAACCTGGCGTCGACAACACCTTGGGGAGGGAGCCTATCAGCGGTCCGCATGTCGTCTGGGGGTGCTGAGGGAATGTCCTGAACGGGGTAGCCCCATGTCTGGCGCAGGAAGCGCTCCCCTAAAAACCAGGCCTTGCCAACCGGCCCCTCTAACAGGATCCTGCACTGAGAGGCACCCCAGGCTCCGGCAAATTGGAATCGGAGGTCACTACCCAAAGACGCCCAAGGCTGCCATGCGATCTGCGGGTAACCAACGCATAAGCTGATCAGAAATCGTAAATGCGCAAGATAAATCAAACATTGGAAACATGAAAAACTGAGAGTTTTGCAATACCTCTGATGGCCGTACTGTGTCAAAGTACTGCCGTAGATAGAGAAGAGACTCCCGAGGTCTCGGCCAGTAGGGCCCTCAAATACCAGCGAGTAAGGGGTCATGGGAGGCATCGCCACCTCGAGCTCCGGGGCTAGCGTCGGGAAGTACGCATAGATCCATAGCTGTGGAAAATAGGGCAGTAGCCATCAGAATACAGAATGCTGAGTGCAAATTGTAAATACAGAATGCTGAGGGCAGAATACAGAGATACAAAATGTAAAGTGTACCGTGTGTGCAGTGTACAGAGAATGAATGAAGAAATGTAAATCAAAGGGGGCCGAAAGTACCTCCCAGGCTCTCCAATAACCGCCAAGTATGTTCCCCCGTCCGCGGGAGGTCGCGCTCATATAGCAATAAAGAGTGGCCAGGCTGGCGCCACCCCCATCATACCGCCGGACCTGTGATAGGTCCACTAGGGCACTTAACAGATAAAGTTTGACAGTGTTCCCCCTGTCGGCAGACAAAGTGGTCCCGAAAAGGAACATCAGAAATTCGCGGGTATACTGGGCTACCTCCTCAGGAGCCTTAGGCTCCATCTCCACCCTCCGGAAATGGGAAGAAAACCAAGTATATCGGACCCTACCCGAAGATCTGTCAACTGGCGGGCGAGCTCCCAATAAGTAGATCCAGGAGGCCTCCCACTGGTCCATGTCCTCGTCATATGGGATCACCTAGCCTCCCATATCAAGGCTGGTCAATACGACGAAGTCAAATGGGGTCATAGTCATGTCCTCAGAGGCAGAGAAATGAAAGGAGTTGGTGGTGTCCCACCATCTCTCCACCAAAGCACCCATCATCGTCCTACTAGTCGGACAACGAGATATCCCAGAGCAGAAGGGCCCAAACCCTGCCAAGTCAACCAAATCCCGGACAGCCTCCGGGAGCTCCGCATACCACTCCCTAGCCGCAACGGAGCCGTATCCTCGTGCGATACGGGAAGTCACCTGTATTCAGAATGAATACATACATTCAGTCTCAAAATGAAATAAATGAGCTGCGTGCAAATGAAATAAATGAGCTGCGTGCAAATGAAATAAATGAGCTGTGTGCAAATGAAATGTATGAGCTGTGTGCAAACTAAAACAGATACAATGCAATGAGTTGCGTGCAAATCAAGTATTTGGGCTGTGTGTTCAAATTTCAAAATCAGTAGGCTGCGTGTTCACCTCAAAGTTTGGGCTGCGTGTTCGACGTCAAGTGTTTGGGCTGTGTGTTCAAATTTCAAAATTAGTAGCTGCGTGTTCACCTGAAAGTTCGGACTGCGTGTTCGACGTCAAGTGTTTGGGCTATGTGTTCAAATTTCAAAATTAGTAGGCTGCGTGTTCACCTCAAAGTTCGGGCTGCGTGTTCGACGTCAAGTGTTTAGGCTGTGTGTTCAAATCTCAAAATCAGTGAGCTGCGTGTTCACCTCAATCTGGGCTGTGTGTTCAGAAATTCAAGGTTTGGACTGCGTGTTCAACCAGTTAATCAGTAGGCTGCGTGTTCACCCTCAATCTGGGCTGTGTGTTCAAGAATTCAAAGTTTGGGCTGCATGTTCAAATTTCAAAATCAGTGGGCTGCGTGTTCACCTCAAAGTTCGAGCTGCGTGTTCGACGTCAAATGTTTAGGCTGTGTGCTCAAATTTTAAAATCAGTGGGCTGCGTGTTCACCCTCAATCTGGGCTGTGTGTTCAGAAAGTCAAGTGTTTGGGCTGTGTGTTCAAATTTCAAAAACAGTGGGTTGCGTGTTCACCTTAATCTGGGCTGTGTGTTCAGAAATTCAAAGTTTAGGCTGCGTGTTCAACCTTCTGTCAAGTGTGTGCTGTGTGTGCACCTTCCGTCAAGTGTTTGGGCTGTGTGTTCAAATTTCAAAATCAGTGGGTTGCGTGTTCACCTTAATCTGGGTTGTGTGTTCAGAAATTCAAAGTTTGGGCTGCGTGCTCAACCTTCTGTCAAATGTGTGTTGTGTGTGCACCTTCCATTCAGGCTGTGTGTTCGGAAATTCAAAGTTTGGGCTGCGTGTTCAACTTTCTAACAAGTATGTGTGTTGTGTGTTCGCCTTCAACTCATGGACTGTGTGTTCAGAAATTCAAGTGATCGAACTATGTGTTCAAGATGCAAACAGAATACAGTGTTATAGACTAAAGCATTCTAAACAAGCAGTGCACTCAAATGAGCGGATAAACATAACATGGAATGCATGGAAAATGCAGGTTATATCGCAGAAAATATGAAAGCGAGGAACATACCTCCTGCGCCTGATGGGAGAGGTGGGACTCCGGCTCCCGCAATAAAAGATCCCCGGGTGCTCGATCATCGAAATCGGTAAAATGGTAGAAAATTGCCTGGGGGAGCACATGTGTCGGAGGATCGTACCTCTCGGGTATGAAGGCTAGAACCCTCGGAGACAGAGCCAGGATATCGGGATCATCCCCGGCGCCTGGAGGACCTCCACCGTGAGGGAAATGACCAGCCATTTCAGAAAATCTGCAAAAATGAGCAAAATGAGCCAAAATTAGAAAAAGTCAACAAACGTCAACTCTCGGGAAATGAAAAAGTCAACAAAAGTCAACCCCTGAGGAAATCTTCCAAATGTTGAGAAAAACTTACCTCAAGTGGTGAAAATGAGAAAAGAAGCACCGAAATCAAAATTTAATCGGTCCACAGTGACGAAAACTAAAAGATTTCGCGAAAACAACTTGCGTGGGGCGTTGAAAAACGAGTATAGAGCACAGATCTGAGAGAGAAAATGCTCTAGGAAGGTAGAGGAGGCAATTTCGGAGCTGGAATTGTGAGGAAAAAGTGTTTGGCCGAATGGATTTAAAGAAATGAGGGCAAAAAGACCAAATTGCCCACGGTTTTGGAAAAGTGGCCGGCCGGCCACCTTTTCTGGCAGGCCGGCCACCCCTCTCCCTCAAACCTGGTCGGTGGCCTCCCCCTGGGAAGAAAACTGGCCGGTGGTGTTCCCCAGGTGCCCACCAAGCTCTCTGCAAATTTTGGGGAGGATTAGAGTCCCCGGGACCTGAAAAAGTACAAGAGAAGTGCACTTTCCGTCGCGAAATCGCTCTACCGGAACTTCAACTTCAACTTTCGATGCGTTTCTCATCGTTACTCGTCAAAAGTGAGATCTATCCTTTTTGAACATGTTGCGACCCCTCCGGGAGGTGAACCGGAGGTCGCGATTGAGTCGCCCTCGTCAAAAGCTTGCATTTCTTTGATCGTCGTTTTGTGACAAACATGCATTCAAATTCACACTTGTTCTGCATTGTTATGCACGTCACTTGCATTCTCATGCACACCACTCATACTATTGTGCACATTTCACGGGTGTTGTCATACCCTCATACTTAACCCGCGTTGTCACGTACGTTACTCCTCGCATTGCGATGCACTTTTCTATCAACGCCGCGATTGTTTGCATTCAATATCGTTTTGAAAACAGGTTCTTAACAATGTTGTGCTTGTTGAGTCTCTCTCTTTTCAGGGCACGATATTGTATGTACGGTTCATTTGAGGCTGGTATGACCAGACGAACCGCGCAGGTATTATATCTTCTAGGTGTGAGACGTGGCGAGAATTGAATAATTCTCCGCATTCTTAACTGCATGAAATGTAGTTGTTGCTTTGTATTCTTGCTTAAAACTGTTGCATCTATTGTGAATATGTGCTTCATTACAGCTTGCAGCATTTGCATGATCATTGAGTTACCTTCGGCTTCTTACATTTCCAGTTGCATTTTGCCCCCCTGCCTGCGGGCATGCCTGCGGGCACATCTCTGTTTGTCTTGTCTATTTGTCAAAGTCTTCGGCCTTGTCAAAAATGGGTCGTCTCTAGGCTTTGACATTCACTCCCGTCACTTATGACTTCTGAGTTTTGTCAAAGAGGGGCAACCGGAGACACCCTATTTTTGACCGACCTTAAGACTCAGACGTCACCAGTTGAGCGCTCGGTGATATTGCATATCGTGCTCGTTCAGAAGTTTCAGAGTCTCGGATGCGAGCCTTGCCTCCGGACTTCCGGACTCTTTCGTGCCTTGCCTCAATTTGTGAACCAGGCTCTGTTTTCTCTATTTTCTCTTCCCGAAGGGAGAGAAAGGTCTCGTAGATCATCTCTCAGTGGCCGTAGGCTACGTTTCGTGGTCGTAGGCCATTTTTTCCATTTGGAGCTCGATTTCCGATTTTTTGGAGTCAACGGCCGTGTGCCTCGGTTCGGGACCACCTAACCACCTCCGTTTGCTCCGGTTTTTGGCACACACCTTGTTTCCTCCCTTTTGAGGAACATTGTGGCCTGAGAGACTAACTTCGTGGTCGAACGCCACCTCCGGTGCTTAACAGCCTGTTTTCGGGGCCCCCGGGCCGTGTGTTTCGGTCCCCGAACCTTCGCTTTGCATCCATTTTTGTTCATTTTTGGTGGAGACCTTATTTTCATTGTTAGAAAGCTTGTAGGAGGGTGGGAGGCCAGCAATTGTTCTGAAAAACCAGCTTTATTCCTTCATCGTTCTCCGACGCCCGTTTTCCTCACTTGAAAGCCAATGTTGACCACCTCGGGGCCACTTTCTTGAACCCTAAACCCCATATTTGTATTGTACACACCTGGGAGGCTACCAATAGTTGGTGGGCGACCAGTAATTGTGCTTGACCCTCTTGAACCCCTCTAAAAAATGATCTTTTCTCTCTCCTGGTTCACATTTTCAGGGTTTCAACCACATAGCTGTGTTGTGCACACATGGGAGGCCACCAATATGGGGTGGCCGGCCACTAATTCTCATTGACCCTTTTGACCCCTGGGCGGCCGGCCAGGGGAGGTGGCCGGCCGGCCACCTGAACCCTCTGAACCTGGCCGGCCATGACCCCCACACCTTGTTCCTTCCAACTGCACCCTCTGTTTTCTCCCAGATCCTGTATCCGAAGGGGGGTCTTTTGGAGGGGAAATTTGAATTTCATTTTCCCCCCTTTTCTCCTCTCCTCTCCTCTATAAAACCAGCCCCTCAGCTCCTTGTTTGAGGGTTACAAAAATTTGCTTGGAGCTCTTGCATTAAATCTCCCTCTCTCTCTATTCCAACCCTCAAAACATCCTTAGTCCTACACCAATTACCCTACACCTCATAGCACAAGGCCTCCATCCCTTATTCCAGCAACTTGAGGCTGCTTTCCAGAGGTGAAGAGCTCCCAAAATTGGTCCAAGAGCTGCTGGTCCATTGGTCTACAAGGGTGAGTCCCATTTTCCCTCTTTCTTGCCTTGTTTTGCTTTCTATCTAAGCCATACTTGCTAACATTTTTGGGCTCCGACCCAAACTGTAAATAGTCATATTTTGTGCTCATCTCCATGTTTGATTAAGGGTCTTTCTCTGTTTGAGGTCGCCTCCTCACCCTTTGTGTTGAAACTCTCTTTTAGGTCAATTTTTTCATAGTATTTTAGGCCTATTTGTGAGC